TGGTCACACTAGCAGCCTCTCAAGTGGGCTGGCGATGTGCGATAAAAGTTTTGTTTTATGTTAAGATTTAAGTTTTTTTTTTTTTTTTAATCGGACTTTTGAATTCAATAGTTCATTCCAAATTTTAAATACTTGAATGTAGTTAGTCGAGAGTTCGAGTCTCATTAATACTTTGAAAAAAAATCCTCCATTTAAAAAAAAATTCAAGTGTTTTTAAAGATAGTTGTAATACTTTTTCTCTTCTCTTAAACATTTTCCTCGTTCAAAAAAGGAAAAATAGAAAGGTGGTCCTTGCAAATAGACAAGTGGTGTTAGTTTTCTTGGTAGCTGATATATATCATGTAAAGAAAATATTATCTCATTAGATGGAGAGAAATTCTTTTAGTCACGTGGATGCATAAGAACTTATTTTTAGCTCCTCATCTTATTAAATTTAAAAGTTTTAGTCTCTTATCTTATATTATAACACTTTTAACCCCTTATCTTATTAGATTTGTAGGTTTTAGCCCCTCATTTATTAAAATCAAAGAAAATAACCCTCACTTTACACTGATTATTAATTCTATTAGTTGAAAGTATATTTTTATCGATTAATAGTCAACTAATGGTTAATTAACAGAATTAATGAAATATTATATAGTTAGTTCTGCTAACTTTGTTAGCTGTCAAAAGCTGAAAGAAAGTTTTTGACAGCTAACAATCAACTAATAGTTAGTTAATAGAATTAACAATCAGTTAACAGAACTAACAAAATATTATAAAGTGGAGGCTATTTTCTTCACTTTTAATAGGTGAGGGGTTAAAAGTATTATAATATAAAATGAGAAGTTAAAACCTACAAATCTAATAAAATAAAAGATTAAAAATATTATAATATAAAATAAATAGTTAAAACTTTCAAACTTAACAATGTGAGGGACTAAAAAGTAAACTTTTGTGCACCATGGAATTGGATGATGCTGTCAGGGAAACAGACAACTTCTTTCCTGGCATCTTCTTGGGCCCATTAAATTCCATGACATTTTCTTTTACAATTAGAGAGGTGGTTGAACTCCACCAACCAACTTGATGGCCACGTGTTTCATTGAGGTCGGTGAGCTATTCACTAAGTCTGAAAATCGAATCCTTAATTGCTAACATCTAACAATACTAACTTACTAATCATTGCCTTTATCAAAAAAATAATAATAATAATAAAGAGTTGGTCTTTACAAATAGTCAAGTGGAGTTAGTTTCCTTGATAGCAAACTTGATGTTACGTAAAGAAATATCGTGTTATTAGGAAAATAATTTAAAAATTATTAAATTAATAAGAATTTAATAAACATTAAAGAAAAATACAAAATAATTACATTATTTGTTAAATTTTAATTAATCTATTTTAATAGAATTTAGAGATTTATTTTCATTAAAAAATAAGGATTTATTTGAATAATTACTTAAAAGTAGATAGGTAAATATATCCTTTTCCCCAAGATAAATACTCAAACTTAACCACAAATAGCTGATTTAGTCCAACTTAAAAATTGACAAATAAGTCACTATTCTCTACTTGTTTAGCAAATTGCTCCATTGCTTTCAACGAGAAAGTCACATGTTTCACACG